TGGCAAGCTGATGTGTTGTGTCTGCAAGAGACTCGCATTGGCAAGAACAATGTCCGATCTGCCTCCTTTGAGTTCCATGAAGCTGGGTTCGAACCAGTCCTTGGTCCCCTTTTGCCAGGTATAATCCACAAGAAAGGTTGGACCCAAACCCCCTGTGGAGGGACTGCCATCCTGGGCCCCAAAGGAGCCACGAGGCCTTTCGATCCCAAAGAAGATGTGACAGGTCTGTTTCCGACCATCATGGATACCAAACGCTGTGCCTTCGCCTGGATACAGGTTACACCTATTCATACGGCCCTTGTTGTTTCGGTTTATGCCACCACCGGTGCATCACAGGATGACCAGTTGCATTCAAACAATGATAGCCTTTTCGCGAACATACTCGATGTTACGGCACAATTTGGTTCCATCCCCGTCATAGTGGCCGGGGACTTCCAGGCCACACCTCTGTCATACCCTTCGATCGCAGCCGCCGTCCTGGCCAATGGTTGGTGTGACCCATTGACAACACAAGATTTTGAAGGGCTGCCCGAGCGACCACTTACCTTCTCCCGTGACGGCCTTTTTTCCGGTGTTGGCGAAGGGTGTTCGTCTATCGATGGGATTCTTCTTAATCGGCAAGCTCTTTTTGCGCTTCAGGAGTGCGAGGTCTTGAGTACCTTCGGTCGACAGCACAGACCTGTACGATGTTCATTCTCATGGAGATCCCTCTCCATTATGGGTTTTGTGCATTATAAGGCTGCCTGTTTTGACCTCACGAACATTCCGCAGCACCAAAGTAGGTCACCACAGTCACATCAAGGCCCCATCCCACCCCCACTCCCGTGGGACGCCTCCTGGGAGGACAAGTTCTCCTCATCCGACAACCCGGATGTTCGATGGGATGTGATCAATGATTTCTGTATTCAATCCCTCTTGCATCGGGGTGCATCTTGGGGACCAGGCCCCCAACACCGGGCAAAGCCCCCCCAATTTGTTAAGAAGACATTCTGCCCTCGCCAGCAAGCCAACCACTGTGCGGCCACCCGTCGTTCGACCATGCTCTACAAGCTCCGGAGCCGGTTGGAAGAACTTCATGTCCGCAGATCACGTGGCTGCAGCTCAGACCAGGACTGGTTCATTTTCCGTCAGACAGCAGATAGAGTCAAACGGAGCCTCACTTCACTGCAGGCACCTTGTGAATGGCCCGATGCATCTCATATCACACTCGTTCACATTTGCACCGCTAAAATGTGGGTCGACAACACCACACAAGAACATACCCACAGTCTTAAGTGCAATAGGATCAATACCTGGAAAACCCGCATCAAACATGCCGCTCACACCGGGGGCAGTTATATCTTCCGCTACCTGCGGCAACGATTGCAAGACGAGCCACCCAACTTAGTCCAAGATGAACTAGGCAACATTTTATACCAGCCTGACAAAGCTCTCGATTGCTTGAACTCCAAATGGGATTCAGTCTATGGGGTCAATGCTTCGCATGAAGATCCCATTAAGATTTTGCAGACCATTCGGCCATATATTGACAATCATGTCCATTCTGCGTCTCTGCCCCCCATTGACGCGGAATCCCTGTTTCGGGTCATCCAACGTAGAAAGAAACAAGCCGCTCCTGGCTTAGACGGGTGGCGAACAGTTGAGCTTCAAGCACTACCTGTTCAAACCTACGAACCAATTGCTCGTTTCTTTCAGTGGGCCGAGGACACCTTTGGCAATGAGCTTCCACACATGCTCACTTGTACTAAGCAAATAATCCTCCATAAACCCGGGCCCAATGACGCCATGAATAAGCGGCTTATTACCATCATCCCCGCTCTACTGCTCGCCTACACTGGTGCTCGTTACGAGCAGTTGCAGTCATGGCAAGAGGCCACAATGCCATCTTCGATCATTGGTGGCATCAAAGGTCGCACCATGCCGCTTTTGCACACGGCCCTGCGGCTTGATATTGACACTGCCCTGCATGCCGGCCAAGATCTAATCGGCGTCAAGCTCGACAAGGCCAAGTGCTTTGATCGAATCGTCCCTTCGATAACATGTGCCTTGTTTTTGGCCCTGGGTCTCCCCAAAGGTTTTGTCAACATTTTCGCCAAAATGTATAGGGGTTTCCGGAGGCACCTTTGCTACAAGGGTTGGATGAACCCACATCACACCACTGCAGCCAACGGTGTAGCCCAGGGTTGCTCCTTATCCCTTATAGCAATTAACGTCCACACCAAAGTCTGGATCCACATGCTTGAATGTTTGCCTGAAATCACAATCAAAGCCTATATCGACGACGCATATTTATGGGCTCGCATCCACAACATTGCGCTCCTTTCACAGGCTGTGCAAGCTACCAAGCTGTGGGATATGCTTATTGGACAGAAGCTTAACGATGGTAAGTCCATTGTGTGGGGTACTTCCACTTCGGCTCGCCAAGCTGCACGGGACACCTTCCCGGAGATGAAGCTTGCCTTGACATTTGATGCCTTAGGCACCCGTATCTACACATCCAACAAGAATGATTGTGGATTGGATGATAAAACCTTACAACAGGTTCTCGCTTCGGTTGAGTGTATTGGGGCCCTACCGATCCCCCTTAAAGTCAAAGCTGCACTAATTGGAACAAAAGCCATCCCTACACTCACCTATGGTGCACACATTTCTTGTTTGCCCAAAGCTGCTATCCAGCGTGTTCAAGGGGCAGTTGTCAAGGCCCTTTGGAAGAATCGGCCGATCGCTCGTTCCAGATGGCTTGTGTTGGCTTTTCACGGACAACCACATCGGACCGATCCTTCCTTGGCCAAAGCCTATAATTGTGTTCTTGAGCTTTTTAGGTTCTGCTTTCGAACTCCAATGACTGTTCAGAAACTCTGCACGCTTTGGGAAGCTGGAATGAAGCACAAACACTCTCTTGTTTCTTGCTTCGCACATGCATGTGACACCCTGGGCATTCAGGTCGACTCACAGCTGCGGATCCGATTTCACCATTCCGCTCCGCTCCAGCTGGGTGAATGTGCCCCGCGTGATATTGCTCCAGCACTCCAAGAGATTGTTTGCCAGTGTGCATACACCCGCGCCACCTCCACCACTCGGAAAGACTTTAGCCCGCCGACAGGTCTCCTGGACCTGCATGCCTCAACGATGTTTGCCCGCAAACCGACCTTTGCCACGCCAGAAGGGCCCTCATCCACCATCAGGTTTGAATCGGTCATCGTTGGCTGCACACTCACTAGAGACCGTCTTGCCGCGGCAGGCTGGTGCGACTCAAACACCTGCAGGTTTTGCGGTCAATCCAAAGAATCTTTGTACCATTTAGTTCATGAATGCTCTGCCTACCATAATGCTGCCTCCCCACCTGTTCTTCATGAACTTGGACCAAATTTTTCACTTTTAGGGCACGTCGAACATCCTTTCCGCCTTACCGCTTTTAGGCTGCTGCACAGTACAGCACGGGTAGACGAAGCTGCAGTCTCTGACCCTGCCGCTCCCTTGCAGGAAGTTTGGACAGACGGGTCTGTTCTTTGGCAGGAAAGCTTTTGGCTGACAACAGCCACATTCGCTGTCATTGACCAGTTTGGGCATGCACTTCGAGTGGGTAGAGTACAACGCTGGAACCTTTCCAGCTTTGTGGCCGAACTGTGGGCCATCTGGATCGCATTTTCAAGCAGTGAAGCACCTGTCCGCATTTTCTGTGACAACCAAGCCGTTGTGCATAATGTCCGGTTTTTGGTCCAACATGGGGAAGTTCAACCACACTGGAAATGCCGTGATTGGTGGTTGGCAATACTTGAATTGCACCGGTCTAGATCCCAGTTACATTGCTCGCCGTTGGAAGCACACTGGATACCAGCACACCTCTTTGAGAATGTGCCCAACCACCAGTTGTGCCCCGTCAAAGCTGCCAATGCAGGAACTACGGTTCAGCACATCATTAGAAATCGTGATGCTGACCATGCAGCAAGGACACTGGCCGCCCGCATTGCTCCGGTGTACCCACACATGGCGCGGGCCATGCAAGCTGCAGCGACATTACACCAGGAGTGGCTAGTCCGACTTCATGCCCACCTTGACACACACGCTGAGGTTTCCGTGCCACCCAGTCTTGACATTCCTGCGACTGTTGACAACTTTAACATTGTGGATGCGCGCAGACAATTTCCCAAGTGGGATTGGACGGCAGTGAAAGCTCTACATAGCTGGAAACCCAAAATACCTGATAAGCTTGCTCCGCCAAAACGCTGGAGATATGCGCAGGCTGAGTGGCATGAGATCTGCAGGTTTGCCCGTTCCCTCCGCTGGAAGATTCAAGCCGGCACGGCTTCAAGTTTTTGTGAGATCGCCGTTCTGTTCCATGCAAAGGGATTCAGATGTGAGGGTGACTATGAATCAATTACCATGCATTCCATTGTCTGCAAGATCAGACAAGCTTTTCAATTTTTCTCCAAGGATGTACATGTTGATGCCTTTCCAGGCGACTTTAACCCAAGGTTTGTAAAGTCAGCCGGCAAGGTTCTCCCACAGAGCGCAATTGTTGGCGCTGTTCCCTTCATGGAGGACGATGTCCTCTTCTCTCTTGCAAAGGCATTGAATGCCGGCGCGGGTCGCACCATTGACTCTTGGCGCGTCCCTTTCTGCTTTTAGCTGCTAGGGTCCTATCTTTTCTGTGCAGGGGGTTCTTGTATGATCGGTCCAGAGCGACCGACATACCGCTGACGCTTTCAGATTCGTCGAGCGCGAGTGGTGATATAGAGTGATCCCATGTGATCCCCGTATATAAATGCAAACCAAAGAGATTGGAGGAGGCATCAAGCCAAGGGATATCGTAGGCGCAGGCTGAAACACCTTCTTGACCTGGAGTAAGTGCTACCACCTATCACCCGGTTTTTTGAGCCGGTCAGGCGCAGGCTGAGCCTATTGCGTCCGCTTCTTCATCTCAGCTGACACATACCCTCCTCCCACCCGCGGATGAAGCCTGCATCCTCCTCCCCCCGTGGATGCTTGGATCCGCGAACCTTCACGTAGTCAATGTCGAAGTAGGCCTGGCCAGAGCAACGCACGAGGGAACAGGCCGGTGGTGAAATGGCGGGAGAAAGGCCAAACATCACAGGTCAATGTGGACCAAATATCTTGCACTGCCTATTCCCTACATCACGATTTTTTGTCTAGTGGGGCATCCCCTCCAGGGAGGCACAACGAACACGATTTCACAGAAGCCAGAAAAGGTTTCTCAAGCTTCTGAGGTTTCCCAACAAATTTGAATTGTATGAAATGGAAGGGTCGGATAAGAGGCCCCGGACGCTCCGTCTGGACCTAAACCCCAGCTGCCCAGCTGTTGGATCGTTCAATCAATTTCCGCTCCTGCGTCTTGAGAGGCTCCTCTGCCGATGGGTTGGACATGTAGATGGTACAGCAGTCCTGGAGACGATGCGCCACACCCAATGCCATGCACTTGGATGAACCGCGTGGGCAGGTGAGTCCGTTTCCAACGGTGTGGTTTTTCGCGTTCGATGTCATGTGGGTGTGAGGAACTAACGAAACACTCCCAAAACCACGTGAATCCGCGGACACATGCGGACACAGCTTCTGCTGTGTCCCCAATGCCACAAAGTAATTAGAGTTGGCCGGCCCGGCCCCACTCATCAGTTTCCGGTGTTTGGAACGCAGGCAATGTGCTACTTTCAATCAAGAAAGGGTATCGGTATAGTGTTGGCCCCTATCGGTTTTGCAAGGGTTTGATCAATTGAGAAATACTCAAGACGGCTCATGACTCATGACTAAAGTATAAGTTTAGTTGGATGCTAACAGGTGTGATATGTTGATTGACAATGATTTTCATACGCAAATAGATTAGGAATAGCGGTGGTTTACACGTATAACACATTAAATCACAGCCAACCAAACTTGAGTCAGCCATTGGATCCAAATGGATTGGTATATAACTTTGTTCCAAGAAGCTGTACAAAATCTTATGAGGTGGAAGATGCAGAAACCAAACCCATACAGCACACCTCCTGTATACCATTTGCAAGCAATCCAAATGAGGGCACCCTCATGTTGGTGCTGGATAGTGGTATTATGTTGGATATATATATATTGATACTTGTTGACTGACACCCGACACTGTTGACCACTGAACGTGTATAGACCATTGGAGCATGGTTTATCTATGGTTTGGCTCGGGCAGGCTTTTGACCTCACTGCCGTCCACCTGACGTCCACCTGACCGCTTGCGTTGCTCGGTACGCCCCGCTCCGTGGCCGGCTCGGTGACGTGTCCCGGTATGCAGTAGTTGGGAATGAAGCCTCGAAGCACCGGGGAAGGCCGGATGTGCGGAAGGGTGATGGTGGAGGGGCCCAGACCCAACGGCTTCTGAAAGAAACCCTCAACGGAACTCGTGTTGACGCGAGTTGATGCGTTGGGAAGTAGCCAAGTACACACGGCTAGGTGGATCCTTGTGGATACACCTGGACACACATCTCTTTGGCCAAATGGGAGTTTTATAGGGTCTATGTTCCTTCTTTCAGGAGTTCGAACAGACAGAGGTCTCCCGGATCCGTATTTCAATACACATCCAAATAGCATGACAAAGTTCTGCTGGGACACTAACTTCCATACCACTCTTTTCAGCAAGGCGGGCAGCAAGTTCTCCCCTGACCCACACCATGCGAGTCCAGATTCCTTCTGTTTCGCATCAAACACGGCAAAGAGCGAACACCCTGTGGTTGGGGTTCTGGGAAATCAAGGATGTCAGGGATTTTTGGGAGGTATGCGCATGTAATCGCATGTATGTACTTTCACAAGGCGGGGAAAATCTGGATGCTGAGAATTGCCCATCTAATAACCATAGTCCAGGGTACAGGGCTTGGTTGTGTGTCCAAATTCGTTCATGAACCTCGTCATTTTCTGACCTGCAAGCCTTGCGTCAGGTGGATTGCATTCACTCTTCAGTCCATACGGAACTTCCAGAGAATCCATACCGTGCACCGGTGCTTATCAGCCACCAAACAACCAAGAACCACAGGTTGTGTCTAGTTTTAGCACCCATGTTACCGCTACAAACCCAGAAGTCAACCAGTGAAACATAGTGAAACATAGTGAAACTATACACCGTTTGGATCTTTTTGGTGTTTTTTGTTTCTCTGATCCAGCAACCTGGGCTTGGACACCAGCCTGAGAGTTGATTGGACGAAACCACTCTACAACGTCCGACATCCCCACCCAGAAAAAAAAAAAAAACAAACACGATACGATCAACGACTCAACGGCTCATCATAATATATCATCATCCGCCGACCCAACCGCGGACAGCAGGGGAGCACTGAAAAGAGAACGAACACACGGAAGGAGCAGGAATACTGTGGCGCAGGGCCGGGTCTCGCGCAAACCATGTTTTTACTGGATCAGACATGTATAATGCTACACTGGGGGGTCTGCTTGGGGAGGCCCGTTTGGGAGCAGAGCGAAGGGAGGCTTTGGGAGGCTTCGGGGGCTGGAATTGAGGCTAAGGTCATGTTTTCGATTGTATCCCTTGACCTGGACCACACACCCAAAAACAAAAAACAATTATTTTGAGGTGGTCACACCACCTCTGTTATAAATATTCCTGGGAGAGTCATACCCTCTCAAATAATTTGATTAGTTTCTTTGGTTTCGTGTAAGACCTCCAAACTTGGAAGATTTGGAAGATTCTGAGGGGGGGGGTCCTGGGCACATGATTGACGTGTTTCACAGTCAAACGTTTGGAAGGGTACGCGGCTGCAGCGGCTGACCATGCTTTTGCACCATCTGCGCACAACACAGAACCCACCCGAACATTCCGAAGCAAGCCAAACGTCATTTGCCCCCCCTCCCCCCCACATGTAACTGAACATCAACATGTTGGTCAACAAGCATGAAAAAAAACCGTCAACATGAAAAAACTGCACACCTCCGAGGGGCTCGTATGGCTGTGACACTGACACTGACACTGACACCACCACCACCACCACCACCACCACCAACAACAACAACAACAACCAACACCGACAACGATCACGACCACGACCATGACCACAACAACAACGACAACAACAACGTCAACAACAACGAACAACAATCAACAAGCAACAAACAACCACCACCACAACAGCAGCAACAACGACACCAACAGCAGGCACGAGGACCAACTGGCTCACATGCCAGCTCCCACTGCACTTTTTCCAGTGTTAGACAGCTCTCCCGACCTTTCACAGGGAGTTGCTTCTGTCAGGGCGGTCATCCTCCCATGCACTTGCTGCTTGCAGCTTCTTGCGCAGGAGGCTGCCTGGGTGCCACTGGGTGCCCTACGCCCGGGCCCTTGTTTTGCCAATAGAGGACTTGGTTTGCCCCAACAACAACAACAACAACAACGACAGCCATAATTATAACCACCACGACCACAACAACTACAACCGTGTTCACGTGTTTGCCCCTGCCGCCTGCCGCCTGCCAGACCCTTGTGACCTGCTGTTGGGCGTAAGCCCCTTAAGGCACAAAAGGACGAAGCTCCATCGTTTCCTACACACAGTGAATACCGGCAAGCCAACTCACCTGCTTCACACCCCACCAAGAGAACAATTTCCAATCGATTCTCGACCTTGGGAACCCCAAAGTGTCATGTTTCTTCTGTTCGTCTTCACCATCCATCTTCCCAACTCAACCTTTTCGTCTTCACCATCTTCAACCTTCTCAACCCTTCAACCTTCTCAACCCTTCAATCGTTGCTTTCGTTCTCTCTTTAAGGGCTTCTCTCCCAGCTCACCGAATGTCCCCAGCTCGTTGAACTCTCGATCGCGGCCTGTATTGCGGCACTCCTTGCAGGTCCACCACCTGGCGGACAGACTCACCGATGGAAGTCATGGATGTGGAGACACCAAGTCACCAAAGGTATACAGACTCCAAAAAGAAAAATATAAAATTGATATATATATATATATTATTGTACAATTATTGTATATATATAGTATTGTATTATATTTATACATATATTGGCTCAATGGCCCTGTAACTGTATCAACACGTGTTGAACATACACATACGTAGGCTGAACCTCCATGGTGTCCTAGGATTTTCCATCCCAAAATCGGCCCAAAGGGGGGTCATCGGTCATCTGACATCAGGGGAACTACAGCCATTTCATGCCTTCCCCATCTTTCGCTCAGGGCAACGTCACCTTAACTTCAAAAGGGATTGCAGAACCAGACCATCACTCCCCCAAGATTTGGGAACGCTGTAACATTCTTGTGTCATGTCCACTGAGTGGACGTTCACCCCTATCCCACATGAACCCCGACAGGGAACTGCAGGAAATTAGACCTTCAACTTCCACCACTAGGTACGTGTCAATGGCGTGCACCGGTATTCCAGTGTATCAAACACATGCCAAAAGCCACGAGTTGCCAGCCCAATCACCTCAAACTCCGCAGCTTCCGGGCGAGCACTCTGGGACGCGCAAGGGCACAATAGCTTTTGGGGCTCTGTCTCTGTGTGTGTGTGGCTATATAGATACTGTATAGATACTGTATTATTACTATATATATATATGTGTTTCTCGATAAACAACAATTGGACCATACAAATACAGCCTGTCCACTTGGTGTGGCTGGAAGACAGTGCACTCCTGAACTGGAGTCCATCGGCGGCTGGGTTGAACAACTTGTTCTACCAGCAATTGAAAGGCCAAAGGAGTGTCACATAGTTTGAGGGCCTTTAGGCATGGTGCCCTGACATGGAGCCCAGTGATCTTTTGATTGAATTCCCCTCAACAAAGGAAATATGTAATGAGGAGAACACAAACAACAAACACGCCTCATTTAATACATATATAGTATTATATAGTGAAGAAACTTCAAGAAACATACTATGATCCTGTGTGCACACTTCTCCCCATATTGCACCTTTCTCCCCATAGTGCCCCTCACTCAGGGAACCCCTCCGTGTATCATGACTTTAGTTGTTCCAAAGAACAAGACAAGACTTATAACTGCATAAATTTAGTCTTCAATGTTTCTTCTAGCATCTACATACTGCTATTTGGTTCCTGTTAATGTCTTTTGCCTCCCGGACTCCTAAACCCCGGCTTTATTTCACCGAACGGCCCACGGCCTGGCACAAGGGGCTCCCACCGTCTCCGGACTCGACAGCCCCCGCCGCCGACGTGGCGTGCCACGGCACCGCAGAGCGCGATGTTGATGACGATCTCTTGGGGATGCGCAATGTTCACCTGTCGAGTTCGGCAGACGGACTGGTCAGTCATTGGACTGGGCCGGGCCATTCTATGTAGCTTTCCCCGAAAAAATAGAACAATAATAGTAATAAAAACATGCACATGGCAGGTCGCACCGGAAGGCGACGATGCACAAATGCCAGTTGTTTGCTATCTTTGTTTTAGGAGAATTTTTCTTTTGGGGCCTGTATAAAGTGGAAGAAATGGGAGGTTTCCAGAGATGGGTGGAAGGTGAAAGACATGGAGATGGTATGACAACGTATGACATGTTTTGGAGAATGGATGTGTTACTTGCTCCATGTTGCTCCAGCAATCCGATTGAGGGCCGCGGTGCTTTCAGCCGCAGCACATCGGTGTTGTACCTCTGAGAAGCGCAACCCGCCAGCGATTCTGGGCGCCCCCCCACGCAGGTCTCCGGGTCAAAGGGCATGAAGGCCATCCTCCAGGCAGAAGGCCACGTGTTCCTTGTAGCTCTGGGATCATGGCGGTGGGCGGGTGGGACGCGACATCGTCAGTAGTGACGAGTGGGATGAACACCGGATACTGTGGATTCCAATTGATGACGATGACAATGATGACGCAAGACTACTGGTGTATACTGTTTTGTAGATGCCTCTTTTCAAGATGGTGGAGGGCACCACACATGTGAGGAGAGGGGCGATCGCTAAACGCACCGGCCGGGCGGATTGGACTCTTCCCCCCTGGCTTAGCTGTTTCTGACATGCCACTGCACGGCCCAAGAAGTGGTCTTATAGGACCCCCTATAACTGGCCCCAATTCGAGCATGACCATCGAATAGCAACACTGCCAGGGTGGTGCTGAGTTGCTAAGACTGTTTAAGGTTTTGGCAACAACATGGGAAGACTGTTTCGGTGAGAAAGTACAAGTTCCCGTCCCTGCACATCCTGCACGGCGCCCCGACGGTTGCGGCTTCTCCGCCTTCAAGTCCGCGGGGATCTGCCCCTGGACCAACGCGCTTGGCGTCAGTGCCCGGCTTCCATCTGCATCAGGGATGCTTCTGGGTTAAGACATCAGGGATGGCCGAAGTATACCGCCAAAGACTGGGTGCATTGCTGTATTTTTCGGGGTGCATGTGTGTGGGTGGGTGTGTTTTCGAGCTGGAACTGGTTCTTTGTCTTTGTCGACATGCAAGCAAGGAGTTTTGATAGAAAGTGTAGGAACGACTTCAACAACGCGACCTGAACTAGCTCCTGAAAGTTATCTCATGTTATCTCCATGCACAAGCTATTTACCACATGCTCGCTGGCACTTTGCAAATCGATGAACGAGCTCGGATGATGCAGTCTCTTCGGTCCATGCGCAAAAGAACATGTCCGAACGTGCCAAGAGAGGTTGAACAGCTCCTTTTTCGCCCATCCCATATGTACCACTACAGGGTCCTAGTTCTGGTCTCTCAACCTCTCTTGGTGATTTGGATGCATCACCTGGGCATTGCACGTGCGCGATACAAAGTTCAACATTCATGGACGTCCTTCTGGTATGTTTCTTCGCGTCGTGCCACTGAAATCACATGCGTTCAGCACCTCATGTGCGTCGTGCCACTAGGATGGAATCATTCAGGTAGTCAACACCACCCCCAGAACATCTCAATTTCGGTCCATGTCGTAGAGCGTCAGCAAATAGGCTATATAACGAATGGTTTTTGAGCGCCCCAAGAATGGACCATCCTTATCACAGTAATCCACTCAGAATAGAAACTGGAGACTGCACAGGCACAGTTGTAAGATGTGGTAACTGATTAGCAGGAATTAGAACTGGAATATTAGAGTATTGTAGAGCAATGTTGTCGAACTGACTCACTGCTTGCACAAGAGATCCAACGCTATGAATCCACCCAAACAAAACACATGTGAGAGGCGCCCTGTCCGTACAACAGGACGTGTTTCATGGCCTCTTTCAATGTTCGGAGCCGTTTCTGTTGAAAGGATACTGCAGTCCCTCACACATTACTTCTGTGACACCCTGGAAAATTTAACATGGGGCTGTAAAGGAAAAGTCGTCTTACAAAAGGTCCATGCCATCAGGTTCCATGTTAACCATGGGGGGAAGGGACGTACCCGTGTACCCTTTCTTCTTCAACCGGCCCTGAAGGTGCCGTCCGGTCGCCACGGTCGTTCGGTTCCCCTTCCGGTCCGACCAAACGGTGGTCGGGGTGGACCTTTTGAGCCCCCGGTCTTCCGGTTGGACCAAAGTGGTAAGGGTCGCCACCAACGGCCAACTCTACCAAAGCACACAATTCGTTTTCTATGAAGCCAGTGACCCATTTCCCCTAAAAAAGAACGGTGCATGTTTCCTTTTGGCAGTGCACTCATCACCTCATCCCATCTTATCCCCACCGCGCTCCACACCCGCGCATGCGTGCCAGCCAGCGCCTCAGGGATGTGGAAGGTGGTGATGCCACTGGCGTCCCAGACCGTCACCAGGACACCGGGGTTCTTGCTGTACCTCGGCGCTGCTCCGGGTGCGGAGGGCCAGACTGCGCGCGACGAGCGTCGCGGCGTGAAAGCTGGCGGGTCCAGTTTTCAGGCATCGAGCGAGGTGGCGGTGGCATGGTCCAAGCACTGATTGGAAGGATTACACCCGGGAAAATTGATTATCATGGAACCTGATGGCATGGACCTTTTAGAAGACGATTTTCCTCTTCAAACATCTATAAACAGATGGTTTTCAGGTCCCATGTTAATCTTCCAGGGCAGTAAGTCAAGGAGGAAAGATCGCCCGCAACTGGCAGGACCCTTTTTCGGGGACCGAGTGTCTCAACCATGTTCTGTATCATACATTGCGATGTATCAATCAAGGATTTGTCTTCCGATCTCCTCGGTAACTTTGATGTATCAAGCCCCTTCATTCATGGTTTCTTGATCAATATGAGCTGCCATGAGCTCTCCAAGTCGGCCCTGCAACGAAAGCTGATATTCCTTTAGACTGCCAACTGGTCGCCAGACTTGACAGAACTGGTCTTCATCCTTCGTGGTGAAACCTACCTCTAAGTGTGGGCAAACGTCACTTGTCATCGTACAGAAGACAACCGTTCATAAAACCTCAAAGCATGTCAAAATATCGTTGAATTGACCATTGCCAAAAGTGACTCCACAAATATGTCGTGCTATCTCTTTCGTTGGAAGAACTAAACGATCAATCAGGGAAAACATTTTGGGAAACCACTTGGCATCCACACCCCAGTACTGCTCCGTTCCTTTTTCATCACACTGCGGCAAAAGTCTCTTGGCCGCTCCGTGGTCAAGCCGGCCTGGCAGGGGTGTGAGGTTGTTGCTTCAAATTCGATGTTTTCCCGGTAGAAAGGACAACTCAACCAAACTCAGGTTGCTGGAGCCGTGGTACCAAACCAAACCCGTGACCTGACGCTATCGCGCCAGCCCATCAGAGCGACCAACGACGGTTATTGGGCACGATCGGTCTGAAGTCCGAAGAACCCTTTGTGAAACAGGAGAGAGGAAATAGGAGGTAACAAAACAATAACAAGTATACAAACATACGTAAACGTAAAACAGTCAGAAACCTGCATTCCTCCTTCTGAGAAAACTGTAACTTGGCATCAGTTTTTTGTTTTCAATTGTTGGTCTTTAGTCTTTGGAGTGCTGTCTTTGAAGCACATGAATCTTCAATTGGACTCAATTTAACTGCTCAACATTGTGGTTCAAAAACACTTTCAAACAAACGCTAAATCATGGCTAAATCTCTAAGCAAGAAACACATGTTTTGCCTCCAATCAACCCACATATGGTCTACGTGCGATTTAATTGCGCAAGTCTTCGAAGGCTATAAGTTCCAATTTGTTTAAAAAGAGCTATGTCATACAAACCTAGCCTGCTCAGGTTCGACTAGCCTAGTCACGTCTGATCAAACCAAACACACCCACCAACTCCCCGCAGCCACTCGGCCGCCTCTCACGCCGCAGCTTTGGCGGCTGCCTGGCTGTCCGGTAGACGGACGTGCGGACTTTGGGGCAGTGCGCCAAACAAAACAAGTTGAGACCGGAGCGTAGTATAGTATAGGCAAATATGTGTACTATATAAATATGTTCTTCAATATATTCATGATTATTCATGTATACAACATATCTATACTAAAAATGTATATATATATATAATAGTTGTATTGTGTATACTAAATAATATGCACTTCATGGAATGATTGGGCTGGAGTGACAGCCAGAACACAAAATAGGTAGTTGCACTGGCTCCCTTGCACCATTGCATTGGCTCTCGTGCTCGAGTTTGGAGGGTTATCTTTCTGCAACAAGTGGCTGCACGATGCGGCAAGCATGAACTTCCCCCTGAGAAGTAAAACTAAAACAGTAAAACATTCTTCATCTCTGGTCGTAGGACTCCCCCCAGTCTCTGCAGCTCGAGCCTTGGCCTTGGCCGCAGCGTCTGTTGCCTCGCCGGCCGCCGCCGCTGGGGTGCCCTCGGCTTCAGCACCCGCCTCGCCGTGCGCTGCGGCTGGTGACGATGGCGTTTTGCTATGTCATGATCCAGCAATGGGTAAGGACATGTCGTATGGACACCATGGTAAGGAAATGCATTACATATCGCTACCATTGTCAGAAATACAGGAACAATTGAAATAATGTAAAGCATTCTCATTGAAACATACTGCCCATATCTGCTTGTCATGTGGACAGGGGGACTTTTGTTAGCAACCAATTGGGTTGTACGTCCCGAGAATTCCAACCCATTCCTTTGAACAAATTGGTCTCTCACAAGCGACCTTCGATTTCCCAGTTGTCCTCCGTCTTGATTGGCTTTCTTATTCAAAAGAACAATTGATGTGCAGCCAATTTTAAAACATCCTGCACTGCAAGGGATTCCTCTTCGACTTACAAGGACAGTGTCAGTGTCATGTAAGTTTGATCGGTTGGACGACAAAGCCGGACCAACCTGCAAACCTTCTTGAGGTCAGGCGTGTATTTGAATAGACTAAAATAGGGAGACCTCCCACCAAAGACCCACCGAAAGAAGGAAAATAGACCAAAACCCATTGGTCGGGTGTCTCCCTACAGTATTATAATGTGCATCCATATATGCTGTGATATATACTCCGCATGGTGACACTCTCCTTCCGGAGGGAAGCCTGAAAAACTGACGATGTTTTCGGTTGTACTGCTTTGACTACTCTTCTTATAGCTCTCCAGGCCTTAGTACGCATTTCTTCCTTTGGAAGATGTGCTTCCTTGATGGATGCTCAGCTACTATATCACAAAAGCCTCAAAAACATTCTTGCCAGTCGTTTTCCCTGCGTTGCACCACGGTGTCCTCACTTAGTGGCACTCCGGCCTCTTCCTTCTTTGCACCCCTGCCAAGGCCGCGGAGGGGGGACTACACAATTTCCCGACGGCAAGGACAAATGGAACCCTTGTAGCAAGATGTTTTTTTCCTGGACGAGGGACGGGACGATGAGGTCCAGTAAGAAAATTCCAGACAAAGATTCCAGACAAAGATCGATAAGAGCATACCTGGAATGTATGCCATGTTGGTTTCAATGACCCACTGAAAGGCCCTGAACCCTTGGCTTTTTAATTCCCAACAAGCATTGAATATGACAAATGTCGTCCTCTCACTTGTCGCGACAAAAACTAATCCAACTACTATCCGAACTGCATCTATCTACATTGACGCAGCTCCAACAGAAGGCAACCACTACTTGAGGCCAGGGGGCGGAGGTCGAAAGCTAGCCGAATCGCATGTACTATTTACATAGTCGGCAAAGCATGTAGTGTTTACATGTTTTGGGAGAAAGGTTGCTATGTACATACTTTGTGCTAAAGAATGTAAATGTGACATCGCCGACTGGGAAGGGTACATTGGAACAACCCGGGTGCACTCGTTGGCAGGCACGAAGATGCGTGATCGGCAAAGCTGGGGGGTAAACTTACCCCCCGCTTGTGTATGCCTTGAGTCGCAAAGAGGGGTAAGCATTTCTGGCATCATGTACACACACTAGGTTAGCGTGATATATCACGCTGGCTTAGTGTGACATATCAAGCTTTATCAAGCTTTAAGGCACGCAGCTCATCCCACTACCAATTGCTAAAGCAAAGAAGAACTCAGCTAGCATGCTAGCTTTCGTGAAAACCAGTTCAAACCAGTTGAAAACAACTACTTACTTACCACCACCACCACCCCCTTTCCCTCGGCGAAGTGTCCACCCCCGGGTCCCCCAAGTCCGCTGCACCAACATCGCCTGAGCTTTTGCACCAACATCGCTGGAGCGTAGGAGAGGCCCACGCCGGCGCCAATCTGAGCGGAGCGGTGTCCCAGACATCGCGTGGGTGTGGGGTGGGAGGTCCGAATGGGAGGCTCTGAGGAGCTCTGAGGAGCTCGGTTTCACCTGGCCTACTTTGGTTTCAAGAGACCAAGAGACCGTGTAATGTAATAATGGATGTGTAAAGTTTCTTCTCGTGGAACAAAGCTTATCTGATAGCAAGGTCGTCCTTGGGCCATGGGTCTTTTTTTGTTCGAAGGTGCTTCTTCAACGTCTCAGGACCAGCTGGTCCCGCTCAGGACCAGCGGCTTCTGCAACGTTCCGCAGGTGAACTGAACTACTCAGCATTGACCACTGACCCAGTGGGTCAGCAGTGACCTACTAATCTAGTAGGTGCCTTGGGCAGCCCCTGGGTCGACCCTGAGAAAGATCTCCAAGTCTCGCACTATTTGGGGCCCGCCCCCCGCCGAAGGGTTTGACTGTGACTGCTCCACAGACACTCCCACCCTTTCTTCCAAGCAGCTCCAGCGAAAAGCCAGAAGAGCTTGGTCAAAGGACCCGAGACCTGTCCGTGCTTCATAACCAGCTGTAGGACGTGTAGTGGTTTTCAACCTGGTAAAACCCCCTCTTCACCTCTTCTTATCCCCATCCGTTTTTTCTTCGCAACATCTTTACTTTTCGAGGCTTCTCCCTTGCTGCCTCTTCACCTAGAAAAGCTACTACCATCTCAAGGGTGAAGCAATTGCCTTGCCTCACATCATCGACCGTAGCAGTGCGGCCGTAGCAGTGAAAAAACAAAACAGGCAGGGTACATCTCGTGTGCTTGTGGTTTTTCCCAGCTAGGGTATTTGGATGTATTTGGTTTGGCTTTGCACGCTGCTTCTTTGAAGGCAAGTGGACCAGCTGCCCATTGGAGGAGGATGGAGGAGGCATTATCGTTTCTTTGGCTATGCCGAAGAGAACTCTGACAAAACCTTGGTGGTTCGAATCCACCCTTGTCCGCTTTTCCTCAATGCAGCTTCTTGCCTCTTCACCTGCATTGACCACCAAAAAGCTTGTATAGTATAGACTCTTGATCTTGAGCAGTAACACATGCAGAAACCACCACAATTAGATTGTACTGAAAGAAATAAAGGTCTACCAAGTACAGTTTCCTAGAGGTCACACCCGGGAATCCACAGCATGACGGCCACTTGCCAACGGCCTTCTGCAAGGCGTGGATGTCCCGCATCGTCTTCCACTCCGCACTCCATTTGATACCTCCACGATTCCGTGCAAGAAACACTCGGCGGTTTAGGAGATCTTAAACGTATATCCAGCATGTATATGGAGATGACATCCTGTGAGCTTGGATTACATTAAGGAACCGGTACAAGAAAATTAATATCCACCAGAAAAGAATTTCCCGATAGGGAAAATCCACAAACAAGCAAAACCCTTGGGGCTGTTCGGCCACCCTGGGAGTGCTAAAGTATGCAATTAAGCAGTATATACAGTAGTAGAGGGGGTAACGAGTGGATGGCATTTTTGGCTCGGAAAAGTAGATGGAAATGGAGGGTTGAATTACTCTTACCGGGGCCCATGTGTTGTTCGAGACCGGTGTGTCCCTCCCCGTGGCCCCACGACATCGACTCTCCATGGCCACGAGGACATGGAACCGGTGTCCCTGTCATTTCTCGTCTTTCTTGCAATGCTTTTGAGCTCTATTTGCAGTGTATGCCATCTACATGTTTCACATTTCTGTTGCGCGGGGTAGATGGCATGCTAGTGGCCTAAACCACAAGAGCTCATCGCGTATGCCATCTAGGTGTGGCCAGGGCGGGGCCCATTGGAAACCCATGGAGAGCCTGACTTATAGTCAGAACATGGTTTAGCGTCTTGTGAAGAAAAGCTGAATACGCCATCTAGGTGTGGCCAGGGGTAAGCAGTGGAAGCCCCAACTATATATATATATATAACTTATAGCTGGAACGTGGTTTAGCGGCGTTTTTGAAGAAAACATGCTTCCCGTTGGACACCAAATGCCATCAATCAGTGCACATTCTTACAAAACGATATTCAAACATCCAAACGGATCAAGCGACATTTGCTGACATTTCTTGCATTTTCTTGCAATGCTTTTGAGCTCTATTTTGCATTGTATGCCATCTACATGTTTAACATATTTTTAGTATTTTTTAGTGCGGGGGTAGATGGCATGGACATGGTCTAAACCACAAGAGGATGGCATATCATAGGCTCCCTCCTCATGCCATCCAAACGTTGTCCCCTATATATCCGCCGACCCCAGCCGATGGCGGGGGAGCGCGTCAAAGAACTTTGCTGGATCCGGGTCCGTGCAGTTACGTGGTTCTGGAACTGGCTTCGGGATGAATTTAGTATAATCACCCAAAACGTCCCAAAAACATGGATAGGCAAAAGCTATCTCGAACCTGCCAGCTGCTTCTACCTGGAAAAACTGGAACCTCATGATTTTACAGTGGGTCTACAGTAGAGTTTCGAGAAGACATTGAATGAAGCCATTTCACATGTTCATCTTGTTTCTTGGTGAGCTTTGGCACCCCACAGCTACCAGCTAGCAGAGTCCAGCTCAGTATAGCTCGGTCTACCGTCCGTACTCATGCTTTCATGCAGTCCCAGTGGCTGAAGGGCATCTGCACATCCGCACCACCGCCCCCGGCGCCGGGCTCCGGAAAGTCCTCGTCCATGAAACTCCTCGGACGTCGGGTGCCGTGGAGCTGCCGCTCCGGACCACCGGAGGACCGAGGACGTCGAGGTTTCGACCGTTTGAGTCGATCGAACCGCCGAATCCTTGCTGGCCCTAATCCTGGCATGACCCACGGTATCAACGATGGCAATGGCTATAAGCGTGTTTTGATGTGTTTTGTTTAGACCAGATAACACATTAAGATACATTAAATATCATATGAAAAGGATTGAACGCCAACAAAGGAGCTGGTCCCCGCCAAGGAGCTGGTCTCCAAGGTCGTCCGAGGTCGTGATGACCACTACGTCAGTGGTCACTCGGTCAGTGGCAAAAATCACCCAAACAAGTCGACCTGGTTTGGGAGTTGTGCGAAGAGTTCTTCGTCCCAAAGGAAACGGGACGAGACCTCTCGAGACCTCCCGAGACAAGTCATCGTGGAAGTGGAGTGAACACCACCTGTTTGGTCTTCGGAAAATGGTTATTTTCATCTATACAGTATGCTTTCACCACCCATACACTGGAGTACATGATTTGTCGGCTGCCCTGTTCCCTGCTACGTGCTCCCACAGGAAACGTGGCAGGAAGAGGCTGCTAAGAGGTGTAAATAGAAGCAATATGAAGCAATCGTCTCAGGAAAAAGGACTGCTTATGACGTCGTCTTGCACCTTCAAGGTCACTAACACCCCACATCTTCCCTCCAAAAAGGACACACAAAACATCCAAAAGAATCACCTTAAAGCAGTAATTCAGTGACTGCTGTGCCACTCTGCGGCTGAAAAAAGATTCTCATCCCCCCGATCACTCCGGACCCTCACCGATCTCAAAACGCCGGGTCACACGGCGTGGCGATGGAGGTCGACGGAGTCGCATTGAAGGAAGTCCTGGGTGGGGTCGACCGGGTGGAGGCCGAGTCGCACCGGGTGGAGCCCGATCTGCTCCCATCTGATGCCCGTCGCTTCGGGGATAGGGCAAAAGTTTCCAAGTCGTTTTGCACTTCTGAGAGCCCTTGAGAGCAAGGCGTTTCGTGGACTTTCGTGGCGTTTTTGGGAGGATCAATGGAGAATTGATGAAGAGAAACCATCTCAAATTGCATCTGCTGCGGATGAAAGCAAGAAGAAAAAACACCCGGAAGCCTGCAGCGGTATCAAAAAAGGATGCTGCAGGATAGTTCACCAAACAATCCTCCGGTCTCTGCAGGAATCCTTCAGTCGAAACCTTCCCCCAGTGGAGACCAGTTACCAGGAACATCCAGGAACTGGCGGTTCAACGTTGTAACAGGTTGCAAACCACGGGTTAAAACCGACCGACCTAACCACCTTCCACCACGGTCTCCGCACGTGGCCCTGGGAGACATCCACTTCAGAGAGGCTGTACCACTCATAACCACGGTTTGCCCGAGAAAACCCAGCGTTTTCTCGGCTCCCAAGCGACGGATCGGGTCCCAAATGAACTCCCCTCCCCACATTCCGACCATCTCAGAGAGATTGAAGAAGATTTGAATCAGGTGGACACTTGAGGTCACCCGGTTCCCACCTTGACACTCCCTCATGTTCCCACTGCACCGGAATTCCCACCATCACCATCGCCACTTGTGCCGACACTCGACGGGCCATCCAAGCTTCATGGTATGACGAGCACATCGACGCGCTCGCACCACATGCGGTGCTCGCACTGCTCGCACTGCTCGTCACGTCGAAGGAGTCCGGATGAAGAAGCACAGCCAGGCGCCCCATGGCGGACTCCGTGCGCCCCGTGGTCTGTGAGACTGCACCGTAGACGAATTCAAGGAAATTGCTGGGACATATGAATTCCAAGTGTCTACATCTCATGATCCTCAGTGGGATCTTAGGGTTATATGATCCAACATCTATTTCTGTACTGAGTGATGCGCGCTGACGTCCGAAGTCTCCACCGATCCCTACAGGCCCTCAACAGCCAGTCGGCCAGTCGGAAGTGACTTCTGGATGCTGAAACGGTGTATCCCGAAGAAGGCATCCTGCCATGTATCCCTGAGTATGATTCCATGGAGGTAGGAGGCTTGTGCTCCTGAAGAGGGAGTTTACTAAGTTCCACTCACGCATCGATATCTTCAAATTGGTGTATATAATGGTATAATATATATATATACATAACAAGATGTAGCATGATGTAGCTGGGTTCTTGCAGCTTGGTCCAAAACGCCAAACCAACCGTTCCACCGGCGTGGCCCAGGAGTTCGGGGTGATCAGGTGATGCATGTGATCGGACTGCTTTTCTGGATCAGTCCCTTCAAATGGACCATAGGCGAAGCACCTCAAAAAGACCTGTAGGGACACTGGTCTTGCAATCCACAAGTTCCAGTGGAGCACATTGGCAAAACTAGCTGCAGCTGGGCGTTATGGAGGTCGAGCAGTCTCCTCCGGTTCTAGTTCTTTTTAGCAAGGGTACTATTCCTTATGGTCAAACTACGCCACCCCCACAAACACAATTGAAAAGATCAAAGCTCTACAGATTTCTTCATGCAAAATCATGCAACGCTTGCAATTGAAGTGATCCAACTGAACCAATCAGGGGTTCCAAATCAACAACAAAACTCGACCAAGCAATCCCATCGTGGGTGACTCGTTGCAGGTAGCTCCGGTGGTCTGTGATGCAAAAAACACCTTATTCGGGTTCAACAAATCTCGGACCAAAAATCCTACAACTCTCTTGAGATGATCTTATATAGAACAACACATCACTTGCTCCTTTCCGGTTCTTCCCTGAAAATAATCTTTCATCTCCGAACACTACCAAACCGGTTTGACCCGGAGGATTGTCCGACTCTGCACGCGTCTTGGGCCCGACTTGGACCTTCAGAAGGAAGGGGTCCTGATTTCAAAACCCTTAGGCCCTTCCCAAATTGATTGGGGGCCGGAAAGGGTTAGATTTCGACTTCTCCCAGTTGGAACCCCAATCGAAACGACTCAACATCCATTGGGCCACCCATTTGTCTCACTGATCACTGATTCCATCAAAAACGACCCAATCTCGCATACATCAAGAGACTCATTTTGAATGTCTCCAGTGTGACTTGACCAGGTCAAATGCTGGGGGGGATGAATGTTTTCCTGATGACCTACTGCCCAGAGAAACAAACACCTCTAAAAACATCATACCCCAAGGAAAATAATGTTTTTTGTGGAAGAACCACGCGGTGAATATTACGACGGGTCTTCTATAGGTTCACACATTCGCCCTAACATTATGTGTTCCTGTGTGTTTTTTGGCATCACGTTTTTTAATGTGTTCAGCCAAATGATCTGAAACAACATTTTTGCCAAAACAAACAACACTTTTACAGGGATGTTGATGCTCTAGGTACAGGCTGCCAAACAAATGTTCCAGTTCATTGCTACACCATATCATTGTATCTAAGCCTAAGCATAGATCCAACAACCTAATCCTGTTCCCTACCTAAAGAAAAATCATTGGGTTGCCACGGTCGTCTTCTGCCAAGGTGCCATTCACCCGTTCTTCGCAACTGGCAGGTTCAAACGTGAAGGTGGGTTCCGGGTGCCGATGGGGAGAGAATGGCAAATAGCACAAATGATCGATGGGGGTTCACAAGAGACCTTGTTTCGTGTTATTTGCCATGATGTTTTTAGATACACATCGAGTATCGTCGAGTTTTTGTTTACAAAAAATGAGTGTTCCATGGGTACATAATAATAACAATATATATATATATGTAGGTATATACGCGTTGGATTCCTATGACTCCTACATGGTAGCCCCAAAAAAGTTAGTGCAAACTGTTGTCCCTCGTCAGAACTTTCCCTTGGTCTCGGGGCCGTCCAACAAACAACTTCCAGCCGGCCTTCAGGCTGTCATTGTGCGAATTTGTTGCGTTTTCCAGGATTCTTCCACAAGTCATGCGTGGCTAGGCTGTTTTTCACCAAAACATTTTACTGTTAGAGGTTCTCAATTCGTTCTTAAGATGTGTCCGCCCTTTCTGTCACTGCTGGTGTCCGGCCTTTTCCGCTGGCCACGCAGCAGTGCTATTCATTTGTCTCCCAAGTGATTTCGTTACTTTTGTCTCCCAGGTTCGGTGCCTACATTGCTGGTGTCCGCCCTTGTCCGCTGGCCATGCAACATTTCTATTCATTTGTCTCCCAGGCGGTTTCTTTACTATTGTCTCCCAAGTTCGGTGCCTGCACTGCTGGTGTCTGCCCTTTCCGCTGGCGTGCAGCATTTCAGTTCATTTGTCTCCCATCCGTCTTGTCTCCCTTCCTGTTTCCTTTTGTCTCCCTTCTAGTCTCCCTTCTTGTTGGCAATTGTGTCCGCCTTGTCTTCCTTCTTGTCTCCCTTTGTCTGCAGTCTTGTCTCCCTTCTTGTTGGTCAATGTGTCCGTTTTGTCTCCCTCCTGTTTCCTTTTCTCTCTCTTGTTGTCTCCCTTCTTGTTGTTCATTGTGTCCGCCTTGTCTCCCTTCTGTTTCCCTTTGTCTCCGGTCTTGTCTCAAATCTTGTTGGTCGCCGTGTCCGTCTTGTCTCCCTTCTGTTTCCTGTTTCCTTCTTGTCTCCCTTCATGTTGGTCATTGTGTTCGCCTTGTCTTCCTTCTTGTCTTCCTTGTCTCCGGTCTTGTCTCCCTTCTTGTTGGTCACTGTGTCCGTCTTGTTTCCTTTTGTCTCCCTTCTCGTCTCCCTTCTTGTTGGCAATTGTGTCCGCCTTGTCTCCCTTCTGTCTCCCTTTGTCCCCGGTCTTGTCTCCCTTCTTGTTTGTCACTATGTCCATCTTGTCTCCGTTCCGTTTCCCTTCTTGTCTCCCTTCTGTTTCCTTTTGCCTCTCTTGTCTCCCTTCTTGTTGGTCACTGTGCCCGCCTTGTCTTCCTTCTTGTCTCCATGTCTCAAAAAATGGACTTGGGAATGCTTCTTTGTTGTCCCACCTGTTTGGGGTCTACGGTGGTGTAATTGGTTTAATTTCCTGCATGTCCGGACCTTAGCTCCATAGCGCGTTGCAGCACCAACGGGGTCCTCAACGCACGAACTTCTGAACTAACGGCTTCACACGTCACGTGTTAAGGAGGATCCCTTGTCTCCATACGGGCTTGGGCAAAGTCGAATCTCTTCGCGCCCATTCCACATCATTCGAACTGCCCACGGCTCAGCTGCACTGCCTTCTGATCAGCGCAACGATACCCAACCCAAACACAAGGCTTGTCCTAGTATCCAATGCGTATCTTTTTCCTGGTGTGCCAATATCACAATGGACAATGATCGTCTTTGAGTACTTCCCTGTGTCCAAAAGCACTCGCACTGCCGAAAGAAGCTCCTGATCGGTCACGTCTTGTACGGTGGTATCCCAATGAGCTTGACGGGCACTCAGCAGGATCGATACTCAGTGCAACATGACCTCGTGAGCATAGTCGACACTGGCATGCCTGTCCCCAGTTCCGACAAACAGGAAAATGGTTGGCTTATCCTGGGACAAGGCCAATGCAACAGCATCCAATGCTCCTCCTATCGCCACATTCTTCTGCACTCCAGTCCCTGACCTCAACAGCTTGCGTTCTGCAACCACATCTTCCTCTCTCAAAGCAGCCATCTCGATCCGAGGCCTGACAATCGATTCAACAACGTCATACGAAGCATCCGGCATCAAATTTGCGTTCAGTATCTCACATGCTCAAGTCTCTGAACAGGCCAGACCTGCATATCCAACGCCAGTGAGCTGCCTCAGTGAGCTGCCGCACGATCAGCTCAGCCAATTGCACTGCCTCTTCCCGCACAGATTCTGGTGAGACATTCACGCTTCCTCTTTTTGCAAACAGGCCGGTTTCTGCAGTTTCCTGCCTATCGATGACCTCTCTCCAGTACTTTTGCCTCTTCATCATTGGACATGGACTTTGACATTGAGTCTCCCTGAAAGAGGAAGAATCGATCATAACCCCATTGGTTGGTGCAGTGACATGTGGGTGTGTGGGTAAATAAGTTATCGACGTCGAAGGTATATATATGCAACTATGCAACTCATAATGTTCGCTACTTCAAGAACCCGAGGGTTTGGAGGGTCCAAACCTCTGTGGAGGTACCTGCTTTGGGACTCACACTCCTCGTCACCAAGGTTCGCGCCTGCGGTGGCATGCAGCCCAAGGCGTTGCCACTGTAGTTCGTCAAACAACTGACATCCTCGCAGTGGAGAGGTGTGACTCATCTCTTAGATCATCATCTAAACCCCACTGGAAAGTTGTGGAAATATGTAAAAATGGATAAGTGGATTTTGATGGAAACTGTGTGGATGCCTGAGTGTTCCCTCTGCTTCGCCAGAAGGGGACCCAACAGGACTTTTGTCACGCAACCGACATACCACCCAGCACAGTGGACTTGGAGGGTTGATCTGATCCCTTCTCAACAGCTGGTTATGTGCAAACCAACTGAACTGTCTCGTTACACACTGCATGTGCACGTGCATTGTCCCAGTAGGGTCCTAGTAGGAGAGCCATTTTCTCTAGAAACTCTCGTACCATCTGGAAGATCGCTGATGGCCACCTCCGCCGCGTGTATGGCAACTGGACGCGCCCTTCGATCGGACGACGTCTCGACTGAGGAACTCTCGGCATTGTGGACGAGTTTTGGGTGCTTTCACCGTGGGTTCCACGCTAGATCCAGAACCTCGGTGATTAACAGCTCAGTGTCCCAAGCCTCGGTGGAGCTCCGTCCCCCCATTTCTATTGGATCAATGAAGAGCATATAAACTTACGAAGTCCTACCATCCGGCTGTTCGCGACTCCCGAGGCCGTTGGCCTGGAACATAGCGAGTTCTAGACCGGAAAAGGAACTATATAGATGTTAACCAGATCAAACCCTGGTTTTCGGCCGCGGTTGGGGGGGGAAACCCCATCTCCCAAACAGGTTGGGGCGATCCCCTGAACCTCCTCTGCTCGGATTCAGCTCCATCGCCACTCGCGCCGCGGACCGACGACGCTCTCCGTGTCCATGCTGGCGCCCACCAACTGCAGGGTGACCCGTGGGAGCACGAAAGAACCCAAGAGGGGCTGGTGAGAAAGTGGAACAAGTGGATGGGATGGATACTTATGGATATGGATGGATGGAATGGATGGGATGTGGCATCCAAAAAAGTGAGACACCCCCCAGAAAAACGTGGGGGGGGGTTGGGCCAATCGGCTTGTTTTACAATGTGTTTTAATCATTTTTTTTGTTGAACCTGGGCCTACCAGGAACTTGGTTCACTTCGCACGTTCGACACACGCACTGCCACTCTAAGAAGGTGGGGACCTACGAAATCCACTCAACCTGAGGGATTGGGAATCTGGCTGGTGAAAAATATGACAACCAGTGGGTTCAATCTAAGGTCGAACAAACAAAACAAAATCATAAATCTGATACCCATGGAGTTAACTGAGTCGTGTTCAAGTCCTCTTCATCTTCCTCTTCTTCTTCCTATTCCTCTTCATCTTCATCCTTTTTCTTCTAGTTCTTCCTCAAAAAGAGCCAAGAACACACTTCTGTGAGGCCTCCAGTTTTTGTGCTGGAGACATCCAAAAACGAATCGGCTCGGGTGAGGGTTGACCCGACCCTGGTTCTCAACCGTCGCGACTGGGCTCGGGCCAGAAAACACCCACTGACCGTTCACTGAGAAAACATCCAACATCCAACTTCTTCCTTTACCCCATGGTTGATCTGAAAAATGTTGCCAAAACTATAGGTTGCACTATAGGATCTAGTGACACCCTGGATATCATCAAGAAAACACCACTGTCACCTACGGGGTCTACCAGGCGTCGACCAACCAAAACGCTCGGGTGACACCTGGGAGGCGCAGGACATCATTTTCGGCACGTTGAGACCTGAAGACCGAGGCCCAGGAGGGTGAAACAGAGTATGGCACGGCCACTGGAAGACCCATTTTCCGAAGACTCAACAGGGGGTCCTGGTCAGCTTCCATGATTTGTTGGAAGGAGGGTAGTTGTAAGGTCGGATTTGGTCCTAGACATTGATAGTCTCGAGAATCTTAAAAATTTGGTCTCCATGTGTGGGTCGTATTGATTGATCTGCTAATACTTGTGCTAATACTTTCGGTTGCCCCCATTCAACGGTTATCCAGTATGCTGAAGGTTCGCGTTTGGGGGCTCGACCGCCATATGTGTTGTCTTGGACGTTCATTCTCCGGAAAAATCAAAAACAATTAACACGACGAGTCCATTCCTATCGGATGAAGTTCCTGGACCGGGTGATATCCTATAAACTAACATTCATTGATTAAAGCAATGGGGAACCCTGAAAACAACGTCTGTATCCGAGCAACGCGGCTCATTTCTTGTCACGTGACTGCAGTTCTGGTCGGTGTGAAAGGTCACCTTTGCCGTCTCATCGTTGGCAAACCTCGTTCGCAACACAGAAGCAAACAAATGGGGAGACATGTCATGTAAGGAGACACGTGGGGAGACAAGAAAGCAGTGGCAACGGCAACGGTTCACCAAAACGCAAATCAGCCACCCAGCCATTGAGAAGTAAAGCCCCTATAGCTTTCAGCTATCTGCGGAATGAACATGGACTTCAAGGCAGCGAAAAAAAACTGCATTTCTTTAAAGTTCGTTTCAGAGGGCTTGTCAGGATTTCATGACAAGATGCAAGTTGGAAGTGACAGGATGTGAGTTGGGGGATGCAAGAGGGAGAGAAGTGGGGAGAGAAGGAAGAAATCATCTCGTGATGGGAGACAAGAGAGGAGACAAGTGCAGAGACAAGGGTGAACCGGTCTTGCGACTGAATGCCAGTTGGGAGACAGGGAGACAAGTGGGGAGACGAGGGTGAAATCATTTCGTGACAGGATGCCAACAAGAAGGATGACAAGCGGGAAGACAAGGGTGAATTCCTTGACAGGGCGCAATTCCTTGTGACAGGGCGCAATTCCTTGAAGGCTGGCTGTTTGGGGCCTAAACAACACAGCAACTCCTTTAATACATCAATCTTCAATATTATACGAAGTATATGGACCTAGAACCTGAGTGGCTTCTATTTTGGAAATCCAAGCATCCAAAACATGCTTGCTTCAAGCTAACAATCCGGGGTACTTCACCTACACTCCCCTGAAATCAATCATGGAAGTGCCACTTGTGATGGTATTTGGATTTCATGGTTCTCCAGGGGCCATGCACGTAACCAGTTCCAGAGAGCGTCATTCATCCGAAGCTGGACCGTGGCCCATCCCTCGATGCTCAGCGGCTCTAAGACATCGAGCTCGCCGCCTGGGGTGTTTGTCAGTGCGAGGAACTGGATCGGGGTGAATGAGATGAAGTCAAATGGGGGGAATAGAAATGACAAGTCTAGTGGTAGGGAAGAATAAAGAGTCCTTTTCGCCCAGTGACTTTATTGAACTATTTGTCCATTTTGCTAGTGTTATGCTTTTGCTGTCTTTTAAGATCAAATATATAACTCTTCTGAGGTTTGCTTGATTCATGGGACTCTGACCTAAACACCTTCTTCACAAATGCTTATTGAATATTAAAAATCTAATCGATTTCATTGCTACTACAACAGCAACAGCAACAACTAGGACTATTGCTACAAAAACTACAACAACTACTGCTACGGCTACTGCTACGTACTACTACGACGACCACTTGTACGACGACGACTATACTGCTACAAGTACGACGACGACGACGTCGACGACGACTACCACTACCACTATACCACTAATATCATTATACAACTATACCGACTATACCACTGCCGCTACTGCTACGGCTGCTACTCCTACTGCTACTGCTACAACTACACCTACTGCTACTACAATATACAACAACAACAACAACAACAACAACAACAACAACAACAACAACAACTACAACTACAACTACAACTACAACAACTACTACGCTACTACTACTACTACTACTACTACTACTACTACTACTACTACTACT